AAAGCCGCCTTGTCATACTGAAAAATAACTTCATAAAGAAATAATTGAAAAAATTACAAATTGTTGGTGGCAAGTTCATTTCGCTCTTAAAAAATAACCAAGGCATGTATTGACATGATCCAAAAAAGCAAGATGCTCAGGAGACATGGTTCTTACCGTAAAATTATATTTTAGGAATTAGGGCGAAAATAGAGCTTAAAATAACAAAAATATAAGAAGTTAAATTTGACCAAAAATTTCTCCGTTGCGTTTTTTTTTGCATTTGAGTGTAGCATTTAAAAGTGTGTATTATATCACTATTATTAACATCAACACATAGCTTGGCAGTCCATTTATTTACAGTGGTGGCCAAAAGTATGGAAACTTTTTTAATTTGTTATTTTTGCTGAGAAATTAAAATATGAAATAAAACGACTTATATAATCGTGACCTACAAATAATTTCCTACAAAACCTAATACATTTAAATAAAAAATTACAGCTATTTATATTACAGCTATTATTTAAATTTCAAGATAATATAAAAATTACTAATATTTAGTGGAATATCCCTTTGAATTAATTACTTCTCTACATCTTCGTGGCATCGAATCGATCAATCTCGTACAATCTTTACTGGAAATGGCTATCCAAATGGTCCCATAAATTTTCTATGGGGTTAAGATCCGGAGACTGTGAGGGCCAATCCCGTAGTGGAACAATATGTTCATTTAACCAATTTTGAACAAACCGAGATTTGTGCTTGGGATCATTGTCTTGCTGGAACAACCATCTGAGTGGCATTTCTTCATCAGCATGAGGCAGCATATTATTCTCCAATATGTCTTTGTACAAAAAACGGTCCATTATCCCATCAATTTTAACAAGAGGACCAACACCTGAGCGAGAAAAACCCCCATACCGTTATACTCCCACCCCCATGTTTTACTGTCGGCATCTGGTACTTATGGCTGTACCCTGTACCTTTTGGTCTTCGGATATAACGTCTCCCGTCACTACCAAACAGTTGAAACTTGCTTTCGTCGCTAAACAGTACAGTATTCCATTTCTGATAAGACCAGGTGAGATGATCTTGAGCAAATTTAAAGCGGGCCATCCTATTTTTCTTTGATATTAGTGGTTTCTTCACCGCAACTCTTCCAAAAAGTCCCATGTCATCCAACCTTCTTCTCACCATGCGTGCAGACACCGATATTCCCCTTTCACCCTTTTCTCGAGAAATGTCTGTGGATGTTTTTCTTGGATCTCCCATTGATATTCTCTTCATTACTTTCATTGTCCTGTTGCACAACTTTCTTGGTCTTCCTGACTTAAAAGCTGTTGAAACGTTTCCTGTTTTATTAAATTTACGAATTATTTTCGAAACGGTGCCTTTTAAAATGTTTAAATTTTTACTTATTTGAATTTGTTTATAACCGCTCTTGTATAATTCAACTATTTTATTTTTTAAATCCGTAGAGAAATATTTAGACTTGGGCATGATGTTTATATTTATCTGAAGCAAATCGTACCGTTTATCAGCTTAAACTAAATAATTTTAATGTATTTATTTATGGTTTCCATACTCTTGGCCACAAGAAATCTATTGTTCTCCTACAAAAACTGCTAAACAGATTTTTTTCGCTGTGCAATTTTTGGAATACTTTTATTTGTTGATAAGCTGTTCATTTATATTCCTGAGAGTTTAAGCATAGCAATATTTTCTGTGATATTTTAAAAAGTAAAAAGTTTCCATACTTTTGGCCACCACTGTATATTTAGATGGATTAGGTTCTTTCATTAACATTTTTGTATCGTTTATTATTAATAATAACAAATTTAAATAAAATAAATAAAAATTACAATAAGCTTTTCTATGTCGTCAATGAATGTTGACTAGACTCTCAAAACGGTCTCATAATAAAAATAAAACTATTAGGTTAAGAGGATTAGAGTCAAGAAAGAAAACAAGTAGATGAAATTATCTTATTACATATGAGCTATCTCTTGAATTATGAATTATAGAGTCTACTACGGTGATGATTCCCATAAGGGGGGCAAAGCAAATTGTGCAATGTTTAGTTTAAATTGACATTGCTTGAGCTCAGATTTGTTCATTATATGTTATTGAAGGTTCTCGGGATCTAATATTGTATAAAGAATACTGTAAAACTATGATAAAAATGTTAATTAATTTCAAACGTGTAAATAAACAGACTCTGTTTACAAAGAAAGTCTTTAATAGCAACATTCTAGAAGAAAATTCTATGAAAATATTAATGAAGCTCATCTTTTCTGTTTATTTTCGTATATCTTTCCGTGTCGTTTAATTTCAAAGCTGCGAAAAATGCAATTTTAAATTAGGACGACAACTAAATTATGCTGAAAGTGCATGTATAAAAGTGCAATTTGTTGAGCTTTATATTCATAAAGGGACTGCGACATCTCTGACCCAATTAGTAATCTAATTATTGAACTTGATACCTGATTTTTTTGAGCTAGTAGGCAATTATTTTTTTCCATAGCAACTGTTAAAATTGCCTTATATCTATCAAAAATAGTAGATAAAATAGTACTTTAACCGCAAGGGTAGATTAAATGCATGGTACAAAGAAAACAAGGTATGATCGATAGCGGCTCCAATTTCGTTAAGTTTGCGCATACCACCTGTGACGTCATACGCCATACAAAATATATCCATATTGTTCAATTGCCACCCGTGATTGCCACTAATAAAAAAAAGACCTAAAATAGGGAAGAATTAGGACATAACCCCAAAAGGTATGTTTTGACATCGAGCTTGACATTTGAAAAATTATTTTCATATTTTGACACAATCAAATTTCACAGATGACACAATATGTTTGACAATTTGAAATTGGCGCGCAGAGCTTGCCGACCAATAGTGCCGTTTATCACCTGTGACGTAGCGACCAACCTGCGCAATATCATACCTTGTATTCTTTGTATCATGGATTAAATGATACTTTAACAGCGAGGATAGGTTAAATACTTTATTTTTTCTCGCACGTTTTTTAATTGCTTCCATTTTTGAAAATTTTTGTATTCCTTTTCGTAAGTTATTCGGGATTTAAATGGAAGTAGTTTGGATATGGCGTTTGTCGCCTCAGCCTGAATATCTGTTGGTAATTTACTTATTTCGTTTTAAGCCATTTCTGGCTCCAATTCAATCAGCAATCGACACGAAAGATAATTAAAAAATATTGACCATAGACAAACAAATAAAAAGAGACTGACAAATTTCATGGTAAAGAGTGGGAGCGCGTTCCCGTAGCGCAACTCAGAATAACAATTTTGAAACCAATCAGCAGGACCATGGCAGGACGTACGTCTTTATTGCTATCTTTCTTTATTATGTGTGCTTTATATGAACGAGAAAGAGATAGGTATAAAACGTATCGTAAGACATTATTGCACATTCTGGCTGGCGGAATATTTAAATTAGCCATTATTAGTAGTATTCTTTCATTCTGAAACTGAAAATTTTCCCTTAAACTGATTTATTCCCTATACCACGTAAAGGGAGCGTGGTGTAGGGAATAAATCAGTTTAAGTGAAAATTTGCAGTTTCTCTCAGAACGAAACAATACTACTATTATAAGGGAAATTATAAAAAAAGCAAAAATTGTACTGTTTTATAAACATATTTATTTATACATAAAAATAAATAAACTTTTTATAATACAGTAACATAAAATAACAGTGTTTATTCCACCCACCTACCAATTTTAACTGCAGAAGAACTGACTGTTGCAGGAAACAATCGGCCAATTTTTTTAAAGGGCATTAAAAATCTCATTTTCGAAAAAACTGCCTAATTGCAATAACAAAATGAATATCCAAGCAAAAAAAGACTTTACGAGAATCATGATCCTGAACCATTTTCAAGTCCAGTTTTAATCCTAAAACAAAAGTAAAATAGGTATATTAACAAAGTTTCTGGTTACTATAAACCAGCTATAAACTACCTACCCAAAAAATGAAAAATATTAATTGTATTAATTTGTTATGTTAAGAGAGGTTCGAAATATTTTTGACACTACTACTTCTACTTTTTTCTTAATAAGTTGATAAATATAACTACTTACTTTTATTTTGCCGGGTGTCTTTAACATATCTATCAGAGAAAGGGGGCACCCAACCAATACATATAGAAAATAGATGATACTGGCTCCTGCAGCAAATAAAATAACAAATAGTATAACCTAAAATTATAAGTAACAAAATATAAATACCTATATGGAACAAAGGAATTTGTTCCCTATCCATTTCATAAGTCGATAAAATGGAGAGTTAAGAAAAAAAGGTAAATCACCAAAAGAAAAATTAACACGACGAATTGTCATGATGTTGTCATCTTGGTTGTCATGATGACGAAAACGAAAGGCGATTGTTCTAATTTCTATTTACAAATTACGTTTTATATGGCTGCTTCTTTCTCTCTTGTTATATTAGAATGAGATAGTGGGCCCAATAGACGCATTGCGCAGATCAACATAAATAGAACGAAATTTTGCGTTCTGAGTTGCACTACGGGAACGTTGTCCCTCTCTTTGTCATTTAATTTGCCCTTTAATTTGCCAGTCTTTTTTTATTTGTTTGTCTATGATATTGACTCAAAACTGACAACTAAAGAGACAGCTTTATTTATTTGTCAAATTACATAAAAACCAACGCCAACGCAGCACAATATTTTTTCTACTCGTAATAAATTCCTTGAAATAATAATTTCTGAATATTTTTTAAAACGTAACTCGCTATAGACAAAAATATTGTTTTATACACGACGATAAAATTGCATTATCGCCTCCCAAAATTAATTCACTCGCGATTTCATCGCTCGTGAATTAATCTTTTCGGTCGACGATAAAATACCATTTTATCGTCTTGTATAAAAAATAACTATTATTATTGGTTAATTCGTTTTTCTTGTAAGTTTCTTCGAATTCAAATAGAAAAAGAAAGCTAAAAAATCTAACATATTTTTTTTGTTCTTTTTCAAGTTCAAGTTCAAAGCACACACACAGCTGAAAGGAAGTGGACATGAAGTTTCGAGGCACGTCCTGCTGAAAATTCAACCATCGTCGACCGTAGTGGACTGACGAATAGTACAAGAACAATGGATTTTGGTGAGTAGATTATGGTCTTATATCAAATAAGGGAAGTAATCTTTTACACCTTATAGAAAGAGACTCTTCGCAGGAATAAGCTTTATTTTTTATACCTATTTAAAGTCAAACTTTATTAGAGAAAAATCTTAATACAGGGATCCCCAGTTTTATTGAAAACACAGCGTAAATCGAAACCGCATATTTTGAAACACACTTTTTATTACATAAAATATACAGGGTCAGTCTTAAATAAGTGCAAATATTTTTAGGACTGATATATTTGACCGAATTTTGTGTTTTTTAATTATTTTGGAAAATGCAGTTAGAAAAGCATAATATCTTGATAATAATATGGCAACACAGGAAGAAAAAACCGAAATGGTGGTTTTCAAAATTGAAGCAAAAAAAAATATGTTTTTCTAAATTTTATCCAAAAAAGAGTCGAAAATAACTCATTATTTTGGACTTACTGAAGAAACAAGTCGAAGATGTCGAGTAGTAAATGTGTAGTTTATGTAACTAATGTAGTTTTTTTTAAATAACAGTGAAAACATAACCTAAAAGCTTTGTTTGTTGATCAGTTTAAAGAAATAAAAAATCTATATTTTGTGAATTTGTTCCTTATTATGTGATTTTTGATACTTAGTAGTTAAAAATGCTTGGAAGACGTCGATGTCTCCATACCTTGCTCCATACCTTCTGGGAAGAGGGGAATTATGAAGTTGTGGCTTTAGATGTAAAAAATCATAATAATTCTCCTGGAGAATGTCTATGGAGAATTTCTCCATAAGAATTTATAGTTTATTTTGTGTTCAATGTTACTTTGTATTTCGTAGAAAATACACTTTTGTTGAAAAAAAATTGTCTTTTTTTCTGATGTTGTTTAACTTATACAAATATAATATAACTTTATACTTCCATGATAAGAATTTGGCTTGATTTTTGTTTAAAGTCTAAATTGTTTATGTTTTACTATATTTTTGTAGGTAGTTTTTAACGTAGTTTTTGTATAGTTTTTGAAGGTAGTTTTTAAAATTTTAAAACGTAGTTAATACAAAAAACTACGCGTAGTTTTTGGCGTAGTTTTTTTGTAACATAAACTACTTAACAACCCTGATCCATAGTAATATCACCGATTAAGTAATTATATCGTGGGAAAATTTGCTGAAAAGTTTTTAAAATATACAGAAAATTTTAAAAGAAAATGCACGCTTTTCAACATCTTTTTTTTGTGCAAAAAACCCTCATAAACGAGAGACCCTGGGGTCGGATTATACCACCCTTCAAAATATTTGCACTTATCTAAGACTCACCCTGTATAGGTATTGTAAAGAACATTTTTGTCGTTTCTACATGTATGTATAGTTCATTACCAAATAAGCTTTTAGTCACGTGATTAAGCTTGACTGGTACAGCGTTGCCCATTTTAACATATTTTCTTTTAATCAAAAATATATAAACAGTTATTATTTACATTTTACATCAACAAAACTCACCTTCTTAACAGCACTTAAGGGACATAAAGGGCCATTACTACCGCTTTCCTGTTCAAAATATTCTATTAAAGTTGCGATGAGTTTTTTACGGTTATTAAGCTATCTTGTACCCACTTCGCACTAAAAGAGGTTCTAAAAAGAACAAGGTTCGACTGCGAGTAAACATTTTTAAGCTTAAAGTATATTACAATACTATTTATTTAAACCAAAAACTCGTAATACAAAACCAAAGTGTAAAAACGAATTACAATGTCAGGAAATAAATAAATAAATGTGGCAACTTGACATTTTTTACAGCAGAGTTGCCACCTAGATCCCCAGCGGTAAATTCAAATTCCAATTAGTCAGCCCGGCACGAAAAATGTCCATGGTTGGCAACAATGAATTTAAAAATCGCGCCCTCGATTACGTAACTAAAAGTTTAATTGGTATCAAATGTATGTGAACATTATATACATAAAGGTGGGTACTCACTTAGCGAACGAATGCCGAACGAACAACGAACTCCGAATGATTCGTCAAGTGTGTACGTAAATGCGAAGGCGAATCGAATAGCATTTTTAAGTTCGTTTCGCCGTCGCCTCCGTTCGGTCGGAGAGCGGTACATCAAAGAGATTCGCAGTTCGGCGTTGACGAGATTCGCGGATTTTAATTTTTTGGGGGAACTCCGAATCCGAATTTGTATTATTTGCATTTGGACGCTGTGTTTAAGATACATAAGACTTGTATAAGAATATCCAGTTGCTAAAAATCGGTGAGTTAGTGCCAGTCTTTCCTTAGGTGGAATTGCTTAGGTGGAATTCTCGAAAGTTTGTTGACTTTTTGCAAATTTTTTCACTGATTCTTCCAAGTAAAAATTCAAAATCTACAGGAGATATTCTACAAAAATTAATGAACTGTCCTAGATTTCTTCTTAAATCAATTAAAAGGTCCAGCTCCTTATATTTATCCCGACTTTGATAAACCTCTGACATCCAATGTTTTCCTTTTTTGTTTTTTTGCTTTTAGTGATCCCGCAATAATTATAAAAGCTGATGCCGCTATAATTTTGTCACACATTTTTTCTGCTAAACAAACTTACAAACCGACGAAGCCAAGCAAACAGCGAACTTTCTGCATTCGTTTCGGATTTGCTCATTGGTAGGGTACTTGAATTACGGCCGAACGAAACGTTCCTTCGTTGTTCGGACTTCGTTGTTCGAAAAGAACCTTCGTTGTTCGTTCGGCATCGCTCAGTGAGTATGCACCTTAATAAGTACATATTACATTTAAACATATAAATATTGTTTATGCGACAACTCCTTATTAACACGACAATTTTTAATATTTATATTATTCAAATTTTTACTGTCATCTCAGATCGAAGTTGTTAGAGAGGCGCCTCTTGAATGCAAATGTCTCTTCCCTTTAGCTCTTCTTTTTCTATTGCAATATTTATTATATTAAATCCTTTTTTTTTTGCTTGTTTGTTATGCTTAGAGAAGGTTCATACATAATGTATGCTGCGAGACGGTGATGAAGTTATGACCACTTAAAAGGCATTGTCCTTAAACGCTTAAGAAGGCTTTATTAAATAATGTATTTGTCATTGCTAGCGCTGATTGTTACTTGTTAGACAGCTGATAATTTTGCATTTATTTACATTGTAATTTCCGTAAATGAAACCTTGTGTCTAATTAACTTACTTCCTATGTTAATTACAAAAAATAAAACGTTTTTTTAAAACTTTGTGTTTCTGATTAAAATTGTTTTATTTTTTCTATAAGTTATTGATAACTATTAAAGAAAAGCTAACTTAATTAAGGTATTATGTTTCTGGTTGTAGAAATCCTGAGCGGTGTACTAGTTGTCCCAAATATACAGGGTTGTTCACTACATACGACACGGAGTATTGTAGCTAAACGATTAGATTTTTACAAATTGTAAGTTTTTGGTTCGTTGAAGGACTATTAAAACTACAATTTAAAAATATTTTTACAGGATACAGAGTGTTCCAAATAAATAAAAAATATCAAAGTTGTATTTTTTTTTAAACACCCTCTACATTATTACATTTTTGGTTTCGACGATTAAAATAAAGGTAAATTTAATTAAGGTTTAATACGCTTAAACCTTACCGTTTTTGAAATATTTTCAATTTTGTGAAATTACAGTAAAAATTTTAAGGCTTCATTTCTCCAAGGGTATCAAAGTTTTTAATACTAAATATTTACTGAAGTTTATTTATTGATTAGTTATTGTGTTGCAATAATAAAAATTATACTACCTTATACAGAGTGTCTAAAAATTTATTTTAAATAATTATTAGTTTTAAACGGAAATAATTTGTTTAACTTAAATAGAACACCCTATATATTTTAGGAGAATCAAATGCACAATTTAATTGTCTATCAAATTGTATTATACCATTTTTTACCTATATCTTCAAGTTTTCGTAGAAAATGCATTTTCTTATAATTTAGACCCCACTTATCAATATACTCATGGAATATTGATATTTTACATTATTTTTAAAGATGTAAAAATTTTTAAAGAGTACAGATACTAATATTGTCGATATAGTTCGTTCATTTCATTAAAAAATAAAAAAAAAATTAAATATTTGCTAAAGAGGAGATCAATTAATATGATTCCAGTATTCAAACTACATTAATTGACTGTTTGCGTTGATTAATAATAATAAAATTGCTCTAAATACTTTTTTTGTGTTTGTGTATTTCACCCATTTTTGGCACAAATCGAGGGGATTAGTCAACCGAGAACAATAAACAAAATGCTTTGTTTTCGTTTTCCAAAACATTTTGTGACATTTGGCGTATGTGACGTTTAATCCATCATGCATCGGTAGCGTAGCGTATTTTAAATCTGATGGAAAAAATGGCGACTGATCCCAGAGCGCTCACAACTAATCGGCGCGTTCAGCAGAAAATTAGTGATCGCTGCGGTAGCGCTACGTCCTGATGAACGCGACCAGTGTGGTAAAAAGTAACACCTTAAAAAAATTATTTTGTTTTTTGACGAATGCTTATTTATAACACCAGAGACGATCATTTTCATAACTTATTAATATATTGATTTCTGATTCAAATCCACATTTATTTACAATAATTTATTAACTGACACGAAAGAAATAATGGTGGTATATTTAATTAATTGTATATTCTTTTATAAAGATTTAAACAATTTTCTTTTTGTATATACAAATGGACTAGTAATGTACAATAATAACAATGGACTAGCACCTGTATATTTTGTAAATTTGTGGCTTTTAAACCAATCTAAAACGTCAATATTCCATGGGTATATTGATAAACGAGATTTAAATTATAAGAAAATGCATTTTCTAAGAACTTGAAAGGATAGGTAACCTATATTTGCAGGGTTGGTAAGAAAGAAATGATAGGCAATAAAGTTTATTTTAGTTTTTTTTTCTAAAGAAAAAAAATCATTAAATTTGGGGATTCATGTGAACATAAATACACTTATTGAAGAACCGCTACTGTTTTATAGACAACCAAAAGCATACATTAATGAGGTCTGTCTGAGTTTCTGTAAACGATCACCTACTAACCCAGCAAAACAAATACAAAACATACCATACGTTCTCATGACATTCCAGCACTGAATTCTGATTAAAGCGATTAGCATTTTATCGAACTGCAAGAGGTACGTTCCCATCATTGTGTATCATTCACTGACTCTTTCGTGGCAATTATATGTATTGATAATTTATGAATGAAGTGTCTCCTTTAACATTTCCAGATTACATTGTTACGCATTTTCGTGAATCTTTACCAACTACCGATTCTTCCTTGGTTTTCCATTGTTAATAATTCTCGGTAGGAACAACTTAAAAACCATATATACACACAAAGAACTATAGGTATAGTCTGTCCAAATATATTATAGCGTGACTTCTAGTCTTCTTCTTAAGACTTCTAGCGTGTACTCGCGACTTCGTTCGCGTCGAATTAATCATTTGTAATGGTGATGATAAAGCAAAGCAAGAGTTTACATTAACATACAAACTGGATAAAATTTTCTCACATTTATATCAGCATGAGAAAAAAACAATATGGCGATATTATTATATAACTTGGTAATATTTGAGGTGTAGTTTCATCTCGTTGGAATTTGACTTTCGAAAAATCCGCTTGCCAAAAATAAGCTTTTTACGTCAAGCAGTTTAAGCAGAATCGTGGTTAATCAATTACTCAACTTTTTGGAACACCCTGTAGGATTTTTTAAAAAATTTCGAAATATGTAAAAAAACAAAATAAATTATGCGTGTCCAAGCGTTTTCCCAAAAGACTAACTGTTTTTTAAATAACAAATATTGTAATATTTGAGGGGCGTTTTCACCCTCTTGGAATTTGAGATTCGAGAAACCCCTCCTTATCGAACCTCTACACCCCACAGTCAATCGGTTTGCCAAAAATCAGCTTTAAATGTCAAGCAGTTTAAGCAGAATCGTTATTACTCAATGGTCATATTTTATGAAACACTCTGTATAAATTTTTAAAAAATCTTAAAATATGTAAAACAAGAAAATAAAATATACGTGTTTAAGAATTTTTCCGAAAAACTCACCGGTTTTTAAATAAAAAAATATTCTAATATTTGAGGGGTGGTTTCACCCCCTTAGATTTCGAGTTTCGAAAAATCGCTTCTTATCGAACCTCTACACCCTAAAGTCAATCCGTTTTCCAAAAATCAGCTTTTTGCGTCAAGCGCTTTAAGCAGGATCGTGATTAATCAATGACCAGATTTTTCGAAACACCCTGGATACATTTTTAAAAAATCTTAAAATATGTAAAAAAATAAAATAAAATATACGTGTTTAAGTGTTTTTTTCGGAAACTTGGCCGTTTTTTAAATAAAAAATATTGTAATATTTGAGGGGTGGTTTCACCCTCTTGGAAATGTAATGATCGAAAAAAAGGTGTTCTATGAAATCAATGAAATTCCCCATATAATTTTATATATAAAATGACAACGATCTTCATGTCAAAGCCATCGCTGACGCCTTTTTTTATCATATTGTATTATAAAATAATAGTTAAATTTTCAAGATTCTAACAAGGTATAGTATGTTTTCTCCGTGTACACTGCCTATCTGTTTTCGATATCGAAGGAGCATCTTAACATGCGTCAATGTCCCTCCTTGAACATCCTGTCGGGACTCTTTGGCTAAGTCGGGGTACCTGCCACTTCTCCCACCACTTTTTCTTGGTCCACCCAGTCGGTCCCGCAACCTTCCAAAAAATTAGTATTCCACAGTGTGACACGCTTGGATATGTATAACGCCTCCTCCTCTCATTTGTGAAGTGCTTGTTTTCAAAGACAGAACAGTGATGTTTGGTGGTACTACTTTTTCGGGGATTTTTTCGGAAATTAATCGTCATATTGGTACTATTTTTAAAAAAATTATGATTATTTAAAAATAAAATAAACGTGTTTTTTCCAGAAAATCCTAGTTATTTTTCGGTTCCAACCGATGAGCCGGATTGTGCTTCTAGTCAGATCAGAAGAAAAAACAGACAGTGTTACTCAGAAAGTAACTCAGAATCATCACTCACGCGGCAACTCACACCTCCAAGATGCAACAACAGAAGAGAACTACGAAATTTTTTTAGGTAAGTAATTTTTTCGTGAAAATTGGTTCAGATTTTCAACAAAACTTATAAAAGTAGGTGCAAATTTGAATATTTCAAGTTAATTATTAATTATTTTCATTGTTCTTTCATTACTTTCATTGTTTTTTTCATTATTTTCATTGTTTTTTTCATTATTTCCCATTATCATATTGATAAATGAGGTCTAAATTATAAGAAAATACATTTTCTACGGAAACTTGAAGAGATAAATATTTTTCACTTTCTTTGCAGTTTAAATGGAAATAACTACCACTCTGCTCATTTTAAATAAAATCCCCTGTATATTCTTTGATTTTTGAATTCTAAAGCTTCATTCGGAACCTCTAAATTAGTGGAATAAATTGGCTGTTTTAATTATACTTTTGTTTACTGTGTGTATGAGACACACAGTATAGAGATTGGATGACATATAATTGACAAATGAATCAGAAAAAAACAACCTTTTTGCCATGGTTAATTTGCTCACAAATATGACAAGATATTCCATGGGTATATTGATAAATGAGGACTAAATTATAAGAAAATACATTTTCTACGGAAACTTGAAGAGATAGGTAAAAAATGGTATAATACAATTTGATAGACAATTAAATTGTGCATCTGATTCTTATAAAATATACAGGGTGTTCTATTTAAATTAAACAAGTTATTGCCGTTTAAAGCTAGTAATTATTTATAGACTTACTCTGTATAAAAATGTATAATTTTTATTATTGCAACACAAAATTTAGTAAATAGAAATACTTCAGTGCAATATTTGGTTTTAAAATCTTAAATATACCTAGAGAAATAAAGCATTAAAATTATTACTGTATTTTGACAAAACCCTAAATATTTCGGTAAGATTAAAATGCGGTAAACTTTAATCAAATTTTCCTTTATTTTAATCGTAGAAACTAAAAATGTAATAATATACAGGGTGTTCCTTTTAAAAAAATACAACTTTGGTATTTTTTATTTATTTGGGACACTCTGTATCTCGTAAGAATATTTTTAAATTGTAGCTCTAATAGTCCTTCAACGAACCCAAAACTTACAATTTGTAAAAATCTAATCGTTTAACTCGAATATTCCGTGTAGTATGTGGTGAACAACCCTGTATAACCAAGATAAGAAAGGAAATGTAGCCTAAATGGTATCAGAAAAATATCTGCTTTGGAGATGGTTAAATATATTCAAACCTTATTGTGTTGAAAATCTGTACAGTACCCATCTTAACAAATTTGTCTATATTTTTTCATTCTCATTTTGTCTTACAGATCCATCAGCAGCAACTCAGCAGACTCGAACCAAGAGCTTTTGATCATGGGCGAGCCACGTCTGAGCGACATGGCTCCGGACTTGGCCTTCAAACACCCCAGCAGATCCAATTCTTTAAAGAGATCACAAGAAAACCCTCAGTTTTTACCTCTAATGCCAGCTTCGGAAGAGCATTCTGACGAATTGGCTCAAGAGGACGAAGTCTTTCTTGAAGAAGATAGTGCAAGATACACAAATATCAGTGCTAGCAGAAGGATAAGCAATGGAAACTCTAGACCAAAAGGTAGGTGCATACAAAGGAACTATCAACCAAAATCGCAAAGAATCTCTTCAAAAAAGTTTTATTGGTATTTTGCCACTTGCGCTGTAAGAAAATCTACAAAATAAAATAGTTTTTTCCATAGCAACTGTTAAAATTGCCTTATCTATCAAAAATAGTAGATAAAATAATACACTGGAAAAAAGGATCTCTCAGTCGAAATGAATATGACTTTGACCCAACAGATTGGCGCTTTTCAATAGGACCAAGAACGACGTTTCTTTACCCAAAGCATTAACTAACTTTTCATAAGCTTTAAAAAATTACTTTCGAGAATAGAAGAATCTATCTGTCCAAAGTATTTCACTCTTGACCCAAAATGAGTATGCAAAGAAGTTTTTGCTACAAGAACAATAGTCTCTTTGATTCATGCAAAAATTCTTGATTCAAAAGGGACCATTTCTTGATTAAAGAGACACTTTTCTTAAACCAATAACGAATACTATTGACTCAAATAAAATTTATTTTGATCTAAGAGAAGTCTATACATCATATACAGGCATATTACGAGGTATATTATTTTCTGATAAATTTAGGTTTTCCTGGTCTGTAGTAAGTAAAGTGATATTATTTTCCTCGATAGTAGTTATTTTTGCTTCTTCACTCCTTGGTATTTTTTGGGATGGTTCATCACTCTACAAATTACAAAAAAATATTACATCACGATTAATCAAAGTAAAGCAAATAAATTATTAAAATTATAAGCTTTGGTCACATTTTGAATTTTTTAATACGATGACTTGATATTCTAAAATTTTTGTAATTATTTGCATAAAAAAATCGATACCTTGGGGAAATTAAAATAACTTTGGTTGCACATCATAATACAACCACCAGCAAACTCCATAAGACGACGCATGGTGTCATTGATGACGTGCAACGAAAGTTCTTTTAATTTCCCCTATCTATAGTCACGCATGCATTATCTAAACAGGTGCATTAGGTAAATGTCTCTTACCTTCAAATATAGCAAATAAATGCTCTAATTTGCTGAAAAATATAGTAAATAAATGCTCTATTTTTATACACGACGATAAAATTGCATTATCGTCTCCCGAAATTAATTGACTCGCGATTTCATCGCTCGTGAAACTTTTATGAAGAATTTTTCTCCAAAAGTTAATAATAAAAATAGTTATTCTTCTTGTAAAGATAATCCAGAGACATGCGACATGAAGTAAGTCCTATGATATTGTTTTTTCAGGTACTTCAAGTCCAAGACGGCATTCTGTGGGTACTTTTTCGGCTCGGGACAGGACAAACAGTGTTGCGTCCTCTTCGAAAAGCTTCAAGGATGATTTTTCGCAGATGGTGCAAGAAACCGACGTGATGGCTGCCTCTGCCATCGACGAGCATTCGCTGAGACACATGTCCTACCCAAGGAAAAGATGTGTAAAGTGCTCTAAAGGTGAGTGTTTTTTCGAATCTTTGTTCAAGAGTTTTTTTAGTGTACCGGGCTATATATTAATTTGAAAAGCTTTCAAAAAGCGAATTTAGTGGAATTGATAGTAGTTTCAATTATACTTTATACTTTTTAGTTTACGATCATTCACAATATTTAAAAAACACAAATAAAATTAATAGATTATCCTAGCAACAGCTTGCGTTAGTGAGTTGTATACGGTTGTATCCATAGAGAAAGCCTAATATTTAGCTTATACTTTGAATAAGAAGACTAAGGAAGGAGCATATCAAAAATCTTAGGTTATCACCGCGATGGGCCTCAAATATGGCCCACTTAAATTCCGGTTTATCAGTGCCGTTCTAATTTTATTTAAAAAATGTAAAACTATGATGTAATGTAGACGTAGGCTAGACTCAATAATTTTTTTTATTTTACGTTGTGAATTTGGTAGTTATTAAAATTTACCTAAAATTGTTATAAAAATATAAAATTCTAATAAAAATAGATAAGTTATAATAATTATTTATAACCATAAACATCCGATACGCTACTGAAGCAGGTAAGTCAAATTGACGTGTCTAAATTCTTTGACATCTAATCTTTGACATGTAGTAAATAAAAGCAAAAATGCAAGAAATAATATATAATGATCGGTAATTTACTACACGTATGTATATTATATAGTCACTTACTAACGAAAAGTTGTTCCATTATTTCACTCGATTTTTGCCGAGATCTACCGCACGCTACACAACCAACTATTTTAGAGTCTTTTTCGATAAATCGCGATTGTGTCACAGTTAATTTAAGCTCTGTTACAATTTCCATCTAGATTTACTACCTTTATACAACTATCAGTAGTAAAATAAATAATAAATAACATAAAATAGGCTCCGTAAAGACTGACAAATCCATAAAATTTCAAATCAAATTCAAATGTGTCAAATGAATCGTCAAACAGAACTGTCAAGGATCCCCACCCTAGAGTGCTTTTATGGTGCTTTTTCCGCCCACCATGCATGAATACATGGATAGCATTATGCTCCTTCCTTAGTCTTCCTATTCAAAGAGCTTATAAAACAATCAACTTTTGATTTCTAACCACAATTTCTCTTGACGGAAGATAATCAAAAGCCAAAATGACATTTCTGGCAAATTTTGAAGTATAATTAGTGAAAAAGTTAAAAGTTTGGTTAGGTTAGGTTTTCTTGTACGCTAATTAAAACGACTAATTTATTCCAGTAATTCTAGGTTCTGAATGAAGCATTAGGCTTTTTAATTAACATTTATTTTATGATATTAGAATGCAAAATGAGCATCTAAAAACTGTCAAAACTAATGAAAATCAAGTATGTGTTTTCCTGTTTTTTTTTCGGTATATTTGCCAAGAGACATCTAGTTTATTTTTATAAATAAATATCTTCAAATTACTCGAAAACGTCAAAAAATGTCTTTGACGAGATATTTTTGACACTGTTCTTGTCAAATAATTTAAACCAATTATTTGATTTAACTGATTTGTCAAATAAAACTGTCAGGTGTGAAACCGCTACTAAAGCTCTGTTGATAAACGATTAACCCAATTTTAACAAAAATGCTCTGTAGGAATTTCAGAGTGATTCAGAATATTTACAGTACAGACTGTTCCAAGTATTTTAAACAAATTTAACTTAAATCGGTTGTAAAATTAGTCAACAAACGTTTTATTTTTAAATGTTGTTACGTAAACAATAATTATTTAGCACTTTGCGGTTAGCGGTGTATTGTTCTGTTTAGAGAGACCACGTTATATGTATTATGTACAATTAACGTCTTGTTTCAGGTTGGCTATTGAATATTAAGTGATTTTTTTTATATTTTTGGGTATCAATTTTTTCCAATAAAAATTCGTGATGCACTTGAACGCTATCCCTATTTATTATAGTGCAACGACCCAGCTATTATTAGTCATTTTTTACGTAAAAAGCGCTACAAGTAATGGTTCTCAAGATATTTGAAATCGAAATAGTCAATACATGTCATAAGGTTTGTTCCAACCCTAAGTTCTGGAACCGTTCTGAAATCATTGGGACTAGTGTTATCCGCATGCGTTAACTCGGCACTGTTTTTGAACGATTCTAGATTGACAATCAGTTGGAACAGTTTCGGAACCGTTTTTAATGTGTCTTGTCAAAACACCGGTTAAAATAACCTCACTTTTTGTTTAATGTAAGATGTAAACAAAACAAACCTTAATAATATTCTTCACAGATATTCTTATTAATTGTATAGAACAGTGGAAACTGTAAAAAGTTGTAAATTACTACCTACATTAATAAATAATGAACACAAACCATAATTTTGGTAAGTTTCACTTGGTTTACTATTCGTTTCTTTTGTTGAAAAGTGTGAACTGTAAAATGTTAAACATTAGCCAAATTAAATTAAATAGACAATTTCTAAGTATAGAAAGAATTCTAAACACTAAAACCCATTAAACTCCAAGCAAATCCACAAAACAAAACAAGTAAACGCCCCGGCCCAAATGTCAATCAGCTGATAAGATTTACTAACTGCGCATGTCAGTACAAACAGTTCCTACTTACTGGCAAGTATCGAAATCACGGTTCCGAAACCGTTCTAATAACGATCAGAAAATTGGTTGGAACGCAAAGAGAATCGTTCGAGAACGATCCCCATCAAGGTTGGAACGCTTTTAGCCCTATGCGCATGAACGGAACCGTTCCTGAACGGTTCTCAGCGGGGTTGGAACAAACTTATATTGACAAAAATTATGCATGTTAACTGGATAGTTATTAGTCTGAAATAATAAATTTCAAATGTTTTGTGCCAAAGATTCAACAGAAACTGTTTTATCGTATTTTTTATAGAAAAAATCATGATTAGCTTAAAAAATTAAAAAGAAGTTCCTAAATTTATAATTTCAGTCAAATAACTATCTAGTCAACATATTTATTTTTTATCAATAATGATATGTATTGACTATTTCCATTTCAAATTTTATATAGAACTTCATCTGTCATGTTGTAAAGTAATATATTACATTTAAATCGAATATATAATATAACAATTAAAGTATGTCAATTACATGCTTGTTATCCAACATTTTAAAATAAAACAAATTATAAACTTTTAATATATGTATATTTGTAATAGGTATGAAAAACTAAAATATAAAATGGGGGACAAACGCTTACTTACATTGCAATAAAACTACCACTTTTAGTTTTGCAATCCAAACGCAATATTTCTTTTTCGCAAATAAAATTATCCGCCAACACTAAAATCACTGAAACTTCCGCGGCTGACAACGAAAACTGAAAAATATAACAGCACTTTTTGTTTTGCACCTGCATATCAAAATTACGCTGCGCCATTATGTTTTTGTTTTTGAAATAATATAAAATATAATAGAATTGTCTAATTACTAATTATAACTTGTCAATTTTAATATTTTACTATCTCTGACAATTACTAACATTTTGTTATTGAGATGGCATTTTAGACGCCAACTGACATATATGTCAATTTAAATTAATATAACGCAACTTTCTACTAAGAAAACATTTATACATTCACAAAATACAACAAAATCTAATAATATCGTTTGAAAGCAATGATAATTGAATTAAAATTAAAAAAAGCTAAACGCGACCCCTTGTGTCAAAATTAGATAATTAAATTTTCGCAATTTTTACACCATTTGATGAATGATAGCACCATGGTAGCACCTCTAGTGTTTGTTCGGTTTTGGAAAGGAGGATGTTTTGTGATTTCAAATATCTTGAAAACCGCTGCTCGTATTGATTTTTACCAAAAGACATTTTTTACGTAAAAAATTACGAAATGTATATTCTTTCACTCAGTAGATTTATACAGGTGCGGACGAAAAGTTATTACTCTTCAAATCAGTTAAAAAACATGCAGCTGGCGCCCCCTACCAGCAGGAGTCATACTGACATCGAAATCGAATTTCTCATGTCAAAAAACACCCAGACACTGATTTTCCTCCAAATATCTACATTATTTCAAAAATTAGTTGAAAAAAAACGAAATAAGATTGAAACTTCTATACCCTCTATATCCGAAACGAAGCATTTTAGGACATAAATTTATACGAACTTTTTTACTTATTTTTATCTGCAAAACATGCTGCCGAAGTTTCCCGAATACAATTCAGACCACCCTGTATAATCTGATAAAGATACCCCATAATTTATAATAGTATCTCTATGACAAATTAATTAACTCTATTGGCCTGGATTTTAACCGTCTAATAAAAAAACGGATCACGATAAAATTGATTACTGTAAAGTTGAAGACAAGGCGGCCGATATCAAAGCTTGTAAAAAATAAATCCAGTTTGTCAATTTCCTCTGTAACAATAATCGTCGTATGTATATTAGTGCTCGTTGTTTCAATTGGCGAGCCAAAGTTCAAGACGTCTTGCCCCCTGTTTATTACTATTATTATTATTAACAACGGTGATGCGTAAATACATCAAACGGTTTGATTCGGCTTAACAAGTTTGTTATTCGTTTATCATTCTAATTCGCGTGGAAAGTTTATTGAGAAGCCTAAAACCTAAAATCCAATAACCTTATTTAATAACGTTCAAAATTAATGTTTGATAAAAAGGGAATATATTGAAAATACTACTACTACTACTGCCGTTACTCGCTGACGAGTAGAGAGAGCGACACGAGTGAGACACGCATCAGAAGATGGTTAGCAAGGCGTTTTTTTTTTCATTTCATCATTATAGTATCTTATCCATTTTATCGCCCCCAGCTAGTGTAGGTTCTTGGTAGACCTTGCTCCGGTTTAAGCCTTTATTTCCCAAATAGATAGTGTCGCTTGTCGCTTGCGATCCAGAGCCTCGCAGTGACATATTATGTACTCTAGTGTTTCAGAATCTTTATCGTAGAATCTGCAGCAAAGTATTTCTTGATACAGGCTGAGCTTGTTCAGCATTTAACAAGATGTCTTGTTGCAATATTCAC